AACTCCAGTCGAGAAAGTCTGAAGTATTTTTGATCTTTGAGAAGTTATAGCTAATTAAAATTTCCACACATCTCTACATATTCATGTGCATTTGCAGCACTTCTAGAAATAGAAGTTTAGAGGGACAGAGAACAAGGGGGACTATACCTTCTAGACTCAGCAAACATAAAGGTGAGATCCGGTTTTGAGCAAGCTCTTACAATAGTTCTAGCATAAACAGTTCTAGCATGACCCACGGACTAAAGACACATTACAACAGAAAGGCTTTGGCAATAGCTTGACTCTTTAGATTTAGCTCAAGAGAACAGTTTCTTGTTCCAGAAGTTCCAAAAGGTGTCAGTATTTTCAAGCCTCCGGACTAAGCAGTCAGCAGCTTAAAACTGGTTTGGGCTCCTCAGTTTTAATGAGGCTGTCTCTTGCCTTAGTTACCTTGAAGATCACTACATTCCTCTCTTATCTTGTCTGTTTTCACAGTCAACTTACATTTAAACTATCAACCTTTTTTTTTATTTTTTTAGAAGATGTTCCAGGGAGGCATTCCTGCAGCTTGCATATGGTCCTGCAGAAGAATCCAAGTGACCTGTGTTCACTGTCTCATGCACCCACTACCAGCAGGGAATCCATAAGAGTGTGTGGGCTGCAGACTTCCCTTGTGGTGAGAATAGTGGTCCACCCTCAGCCACCAGTCTGATTTTTGTCCCTCTCCCTGTCCTGCAGCTCTGTCTCCAGCATCTGGCACTTCTAGAAGGGAGTGTCTGGGCAAGCACTACACACATCTGAGTTGGCCTAATACATCCAGTGCTCCTGGACTGCTCTCTCCTTACTGCCCAGGTGCAAACGGTACCCACAGCACAAGGGCCCAACTGTGTGCACACAGGGCAGGACTGACAAGCACAATCATTCCCATTCTAAATGTTGATGGCTTTGGATTGTGCTCAGGAGCAAGCTCTCCACATCTCACATAGGTCTGGGCTCCACACCAGCTGTAAGGCACTTTCACGTTAAGGCAAGTTAATTTCTGTCAGAACTGGAAGAGCTCATCAGGGGTGAGCTGGAATGTGACATTGTCATGTAATGTTTTGCACTGTTAGACATGCAAGTGACAGCCTGGACAATTTTGATGCAAAAGTCCATGTATATGATAGGAGAAATGATTTGGTAAGTGTACTGCAGTCCACCACCCGCTAGTCCCATATCCCTCGCACCATAAGGTTTTGGGCTATCTTGGGTCAGCCTTCTGTTTCTGAGGTACTTCCAGCATCACAGTTCACACCCCATAGTGTCTGGGACCATAAAAAACATAATGAATGCATAAACAAAACACATGTATGTGCTAAGATCATCAAGTCTCCAGAGTATGTCCATGTATAAATGCATTACCAACCAAAGGACGACCAAGAAAAATTTCCATCCTACAGACCTCCTGGAGAGGCTGTGGATGCCCCAAGCCTATCAGCATTTAAGAGGTATTTGGGCAATGCCCTGCAACAACTTTAACTTTTGATCACCCTGAAGTGGTCACAATTTGGACTAGATGTTCCTTGTAGATCTCTTCCAGTTGAAATATTCCATTCCATTAATCACTTACCAGTGGAGAGACTTGGGGAAAATAGGTTGAATTTGTTGCCAACTAAAAATGCTGGGAAGTGAGCAACAAAGAGTTGCTCCTCACATTTCTTTACTCACTCCACAATGCAGCATTTTGCCTCTTCTCACCCAGGCACTTCTGCAGCTCTACCACTGCCAAGCCTGGACACCTGGGACAAAGACACCCATTTCCCTGTATCAAGAGTCACCTTCTCAGCCTTCCGGGTGATGCAGGCAATACCTCCACTTTGGAGTAGTACAGAAAGAAAACTAAGAAACAGGTCTGTGCACACAAGCTGTCTCACAGCTGCCATCAGACTGCATCCAGAGGTAGATGACGAGTGCAGATGGGAGTGAAGATCTGACAGTCAGAGAGTAACTCAATGGACTCTACAGGCCTGTGGGGGTTCACTTTATGGGACCCAGAGCACAAACCTTATGAGGAGCACCTGACCTAAATGGGTTTGTTTAGCCTTGAGGAAAGAGGCTCATGAGAGACCTCTGCAACTACCTGAAAGGTTGTAGTGAGGTGGTCACTCTCTTCTCCCAGGTAAGAAGCACCAGGACCAGAGGAAACGGCCTCACTTTGTGCCATGGGAGGTTTAGTTGGGATACTAAAAAAAAAATTTCACTGAAAGAGCTGTCAAGCACTGTAAGAGGCAGCCCAGGGAAGCAGTTGAGTCACCATCCCTGGAGTAGATGTGGCACTTGGGAACAGGGTTTTAGTGTTGGCAGTGTTAGGATAATGGTGGGACTTGATTATCTTAATGATTCTATTAAATGCATCTCGACTATAACTTTGGGCACATGGCTGTCTGCAAACCAGCAAACAGAAACTTCAAGCAGATATCTTCCCTTTCCCTAGTATTTAACTGTTATATTTTATATATATGGTAAGAACTTTGTAATAGTAGTAGGAACACCTTACTTCAAGACACAGGTAAAATTTTCTAACAGTATTCTATCCTTTCCAAAACCAGAAGTCAATGCATGTTCCTATAATTATTCTGTCAGTCTTTACTGGAATTTGAAACAACGAACTGTCAAAAATTTGTTTCCTGAAAAAAACCTGTCATCCTTCCACCCCAAATAACTAACCAGTGATTATAAAAAAACATCATTGAAAACACCCAAGTGTTACAAGAGATGTCCCAGTGTGAAGCATAAAAGCAGAATCTGGACAAAGCGTGGAATAAAATATTTTTTTTTAAGCAAAACCATCAGTTTTGATAATAAACTAAAGTTAAATGGAGAGGTGTTGGATAACAACAGCAGCTACCAGAACAACAAAAGGCTTCACATAGCTGTACAGTCTCATCTTTGTTATTCTCATCTACTAAAACTATTGTTTTATTCCATTGGTGCTTTTATGTCTATACAAAGAACAGTCACACAAAGATGTTTCCATTCTAAATCAATAAAATACTTTTGTCTTTGGGTTTTCCAAGGTGGATCACACTAATGGTGCTGCACAGGCAATATGGCACAGTGTGTTGTGCATTCATCACTGAGGTCATGGAACATCCTCTCAAGTGACACACAATGAAGTTGTCATGGCACTTTGAAGTCAGATGGCTGTAGCAGTGCTTTTTCTTCTTCTTCTTCTTATTATTATTGTCATACATTTGCCAGTTCTGATCAGATTTTCCAGATCCATGAGCTGAAGACAGCAGAGATGCCGCTGGGGTGCTTCTGCCTTCCACCCTTCCATGCTCAGAACGACAACTCATGACAATTAAATCCCACAGTTGCCTTTCCCTTGGGCTTCATGAAGTTTGTGTTTATTTGCTCAGGTAACCCAGTCTACCCTTAAATACTCCTTAATCCCAAGTTTCCTTTTGGCATCATTTAGCTTCCAGCAGCTAAGTTCTTTACCTCCTGAAATACTTAAAAGCCATCTTGCAATCACCACTCAATTAAAAAAAAACCCACACAAACAAAACAAACCCAAACATTTCCAATCTCTCCATCTGGTACCTTCAGAGGACAAGGGGGTGGTGTGACTGTCACATCTTTTTCCATATGTCCAGATGTGTCCCCCAAATCCCCACACCACATCCATTGTGCTGTCCCGTTTCTGATTCCTCCTCCTGGCTCATTCTCCCAGTTCCTTTCCATCTTACCAGCTCTTGGCCCTGTATTCCTTCTTCCCTTGACACTGCACAGGAGTCCTCATCACTTCCAATTACAAAGTGCATTTCACACTCCTTTCTACCTTCTCCACTTCTAAGTGCACTGAAATGTACGACCACTGTATAAACTTCTCAACATCCTTCCAGTTCCCCTTCGCCACTTCTCACTCCTTGCTTCCTAAAGCAATCCACATTTTGAAAAGGCACTTCTAAGTTGCTCAATGCTATTAATCACTTCTGCACTTGCTTACTTTGCTACTTCTCTCACTTGCTCCTTCAGCATATCTAATGAATTGAACTACTCTTTTCTCTGTGGGCAAGGTGTCAGCTTCCTCCTATTACCCACAGGCAACATCATCTGCCGTCTCCTATTCCTAAATTAAAATAACGAATTGAGTTCTCTTCCTCTCACTTGTCCCTTTGCCTTGTTCCCTCCAGCAAGCTGTCAACACCTCAAATTCTCAAACAGCAAAAATAAAATATCAAGAGATACCTATGTTCTCTGTCGTGCATGTAGCGCTTCAAAATTACTCTTTATCCTGCCCTCAGAGTCTGTATGTGAGACTTCTTTTCCCCCTCAAAAAGTTAAGCCTTCCCCCTTCTTTTTCTCGATTATCAATCCTTCTGCTATCACTGTACTTAATGCAGATGTAAATACTTCTCCTTTGCGGTGACCTGGAATTTATGTAAATCTGTATTTTTTAAAAGTCACATTCTTTTTTCATTCTCTGACATTACTCTGGGGTGTGATTCAGAAAGATTAGTAACTTCTTCGATGTGCCCATCCAGGTTCGTGCTCTTCTCCCTCTTCCTTACACTTCTGTGCCAAAGCTTCCATCACTCTCCACGTCTCACTGACTTCTCCCAAGCCTGTGTTTTCTCTGTGCCACGCCATGAGTGACACTGCCACTCAAAGCCAACTTGCCACTCAGGCAGAAAAACTAAAACTTATACTTACGAACCTCCAAATTTCTATCTACAGCATTCCACAGAAAATTTATCCTTTCTAGGTAAATATCACTGGAAGCCTCAAGTGATTCTCCCCACTGCAAGTATCAGTGTGCCATTCCATACTAGAGAGTATCTTACCTGAATGTTTATTATATCAAAAATCACTGAATGTATTAATCTGAGACAGAAAAGAAAATAAAAAGACCATGAAGTACCTTTATGTTTGTCATGTGACAAGGAGAAAAGAGGTACAACGGTAAGCATCATACCCATCAATTCTGTCATTTTAACACTGAATCCACAGTGGATTTAACAATTCAAACACACAAGTAATAACAGCGTACCTTTATTTTAACATGTGCACTGCACTGATGCAGTAGATACAACGCCAGCAGTCTTCTCCTTGCACAAACTACTATCAATCAAGTAAATTCTAGGTGGAAGCAGCATTTAGTGCAAAGAATAGTTAAGAAACCTCTAATGTTAACCATATCTTGGGAACTGTTTGCATACATAGTGCAGCAATCATAGCTGTTTCCCAAATGGCCTTAAACATGGAAAACCGATCAGCTATAGCAGTTTGCATTTGAAAATTCTAACACAGACTTGTTTTCTTTTTAAAAAAATCTACACTACAGTTACAAATAAATAAAGACCGACTGTGTATATATTTGCTCAAAATCAATTCAGCAACTTAAAAAAATATAATGTTCAGTGTTTGCTGAATTGCTTTATACTGCATCTATAACTTCAAAAAAACTAGGTTAAAAAAAAGTTTAAAGAATAAAAATAATTCCTCCAGCCCTCTTTTTGTTTTGTTTTGTTTTGTTTTGTTTTTTTTCATTTAATCAGTTGAAAAGAAAAAGTTTGCAAGCACTGCTGCCTCTCACCCATTAATATGCGATTCAGGTCCCCTGGTCAATCTGGGAATCATTACAGAACATCCCTGCACACCCAACAGCTCCCTGTGCTCAGGCAGCCCTGAGCAGCGATGCTAAAGGGCAGTACAAGCCTTGGTACAGCAAGCAGATCAAGTCATCTTCCAGTTCACAAGTTTCCTTGCTAAAAAACAAGCCACCCCCACTTGTTGTGACTGATTTCTACACCTGTCGGGCTCACCCGGGAACACAGACGCTGTGAGCTCTGTCCCAGGGAATGCCTGTGTGCATAATTTCACCTACATGAGTAATCACACTAAGAATCAATGGAAATATTCATGCTTGCAAAGTTATGAATACACCTATCTGTTTACAGGACATCTGCATTCATTTGCAGCTATACAATATACTGATTGCAGTCCTGATCAAAAATGAAGGGTCACTACTAGGTTACAGGTAACACCATAAAGGTATTTTCTGGAATGCATACAACAGAGCTAAAACCCTCAGGGAAACGCACTTTTCTCCTTTTTAGAGGGAAGCTCTGCTCTTTGGGAGTATTTAGGGATGCACAAGCTGTGGCCATGGAAGAACTATGCCCCATGTATACGGGAGAATTAACTGCAATAATTTAAACAGTAAGACTGAAGAATGTTTCCATGGGCACTCCAAACTGAAAATATTTTAACAATTATACACCAATTATAAACCAAACAAAGAGCAAATTTTTGCAAGTTTTCCAGTATCGATCTGGAATTACACAGAGGATACTCGGATTCCATGAACAGTTTATATATGTGGGATGCAATAAAATTCTTCTTTATGTATGGTTTAAGAATACAGATTAAGGACAGGTTTTGGTCTTTTTGTATTCATTAACAGTATCTTGGGAGGGCAAATCAACTCTCTCCAACAAAACTAAGAAAATGTTGATACTAGGTGTTGAATGGAAAAAAATCATTATTTTTCAGGATTAGAGTATTTAGGGAAATAGTGCACTTTTTATTCTATCCTGGAAAAATACAGAAATGCACAGAATGGTTATATCCTTCCTACCTACTTTCAAGTGGGATTTTTAAACACTGAAAGAAACGTTTCAGTCAACACATAGCAAATTCTTAAAAAATATAACTTTAGACAACATGAGAAACTGCTAAAGAAAAATGCTCTGTCTTTAGGAATAACTACAATGCAACCTCATCTTCCACTGATTTTTACACTGCAAGCGAATCTAATTCAGCAAGGGCCTCACACAACATCGTCAATCTGTGGCAATACAACTAAACCTTCTCCTACTGAAGCCTCAAAACATTCAATACAGGGGCACATGAAGATGGATCACACCCACACTTCATCCTCTAAAGCAAACTTTGCTTCAGAAATCTAGTGCTTCCCTTAAGGTTGGGGAGAGTATGCCCGCGAGAACCTCACTGAACTCAATTTCTTGCCCTGTGGGGGACGGAAAACCAGCTTTGATCTTCATGCTTTTCAGTCCAAAGTGCCTCTATAACCGACTGTTAAATCCATATCAGAATCCAAATAATCAATATGGCAGCAGCTAAAGAATTCCAGGAAGTGAAAGGTCAAAGATTCTTCTGCAGCAGAGATTATGACGAATGAAACTAGGGTAAATAAACAAAATTTTAAGACTGGCTTTCTTCCCTTTCCAATGAAGGATTTGGGGTATTCTCTCAGAAGATTTTTTCTTTTTAGTTATGCCCTTCTCTATATGGAAGCACTACATTGTTCATTTAAAAAAACTAAACAAAACCCAAAACCAAACAAAAGCCCTCTCCAACATCAAAAGCACCATACATGAAAAATCTCTAGGAAAAGCAAAAACAAACTCCATGGACCACCTTTCAGGGATGAAATGCTAAAGATGTCTTTTTTAATCAACCAGTTTGTGAAGGTCTACAAAAAAATAAAAGGATCACATTCTAAAGGTTCAGTGCAGTCAGCAGCTACAGTTTTGCTGCTTATTCATCTTTAAGTTGACTTTCAAAAATAACACCCTAGCTCGTCAAAATATACATTTTCCATTTGCTTTTAAATTAAAATAATAATAAAAAAACATTTAAAGAATTCACAATCAATAGCATGACTAAGTTTCAGGATCATCTACAGCATATAATTTAAAGGTTCAAGATGCCAATATGCAGCATGTGGCAGGCCTATACGCTCCATGCAGCATGTACATTTAGGACAATCTCAATCTTGATGTTCAGATGTCAGTTTGCTTCTTCCAAATAGTGTAGAATACCCATCTGGAGAAAATAAGCAGTTAAGGAAAAAAAAAACCAAAATGGGCAAAGTTTGTAGTTTGTAGCACAGTTAAAATGGAAATAGCTCTTTTTACTTAATATTTCAATTTTGAAAACTTCTGGTCGTTCATAGAGTAGGTAAAACACTCAAAACTGAACTCTCCCTGGATTCTCTTTGACCAGCAGTTCAAGGATGCCTACTTCAAGGCATGTTGTTTTAAGGCCTGGCAGTTGTAAAGAAAAAAATAACCTGTTTTTCTGAAGCTGTAAGGTCAGGTATCTTTATATCCCTCCCTCATGCTCTTTTGTCTTGAAAATGTAGTCAAATCTGAGTTTGACAGGAAAGTTGACAATAATGAGAAACAGGAGGAGCTTGTTATAGTTAGCAAGGAGTCCAGAGCAGCAGGTTCCAGCATTAAACAGTACTGAGAGACAGAGAAGGGAGGTAAAACGAACACACAGAAGAAAGGCTGGGGCAGTATCACATGCTTAATGTATTATGAATAAGCAGAATCACAGAAAGATGTCTCCTGTCAAGAGAGACAACCACAGTAGGCACTATCCTTCAGAAACATTTCCGGGGTGATCACACAAAAGCAGTAAACGCTCAAGGCAAATCAGCAGATCAAAATGTACCACTTGAGCTAATGGCTGGAAGTTTAAACTTTTAGTTTGCCTGTCACTCACAAACTGAAGAAATTCTGAAGGACTATTTTTAGTAATGGCATGTTGCCAAGAAATGTGTATACCCCTCCACTTGGAATATTTTTTTCAGTAACACTAATTAGTAATGATTGTTAGGAATCACTATCCTCCCCCATCTCCAGCCTTAAAAATCATGTCTCAGCTGTATGTTCAAGAATAGATCTATCAGCCAATATTTTAAGAAATTGATCATGGCCATCTCTAGGAAGACTCTTATTTTTTGTAAAAGAAAAAAAAAAAAAGAAGAGGATATAGCCTTGTCAGAACTTCCTGGCAGCATTACCCTTATCATACAGTTTATCCTACATTACATAAACTTGGAAACACTCAAAAGCACTAACCAAAACAAAGCCTGATCTTGAAAGGTGCATTTCACCAGCTGTGAATTTATGGCACCTTTAGAAAACAATTCCTGCAATTACCCTCAAAATAAAACTGCAGTAGTCCATTTGCTATAAAAAACATTAATAGTGGTTTTAAACTAGAACTGCCTTCTTGTGCTTAAGTTACCTCCAAGCAATCTAGACTTGCTTGATTTATTAATACACAGTCTCCAGTCTTTTTCACTCTTTAAGGATACAATTCCATGTAGGAGGGAACACACACGGTTTCTTTTGAGAACTCCACAGGACAATAAAGCCTGCTTAGCTGTTCTTCATACAGAGTCAAGGCATCAGTCAGATTTATACAGTTTCCCTGAAGAACAAAAAAGAAAAGTCACAGTCAAAATCAAAGCAAAATTTCAGCTGAATATACACTTTTTGACATTACTGCAAGGCTCCCACATATTTCAGAACCAGATACATGCTGTTCTTAATATTTAATATTTACAAAGCAAATACTGAACAGCTTGTCTTCATTCTGCCTACAATAATTCGCATCTTTTCAAGAAAGAAAAAGTATGGGAAGATTATCTATATTCTCATTAGCAGAAGCAACCATTATAGTAGGGCTTTCAGTTAAAACAGATCACCATGTGGTGTTTACCTATAACATCTACTCAATAACCATTTTCTTTATGATTGCTTAAATATATTAGTAAGCAGTACTACAACATCCAGATTTTCTCAATTATTTAACATTGCCTAGATCTTAAAATGTTTAAATGCACTATTAAAAAAAACATAACCTATTCATTTTAAACACAGCAATATGACAAAATAAATCAGATTATACAGAAATTCTCGCCTGGCTTCAGGCTACAGTCTTGAGTTTCTGCATATTGTGCTTCTGAAAAGGAAGTGATTCCTATCATACTTTTTTTTCCCACTTGGATCTGTGTCTTAATTCATCTAAGAATATTAGTAGTATCCTTTTCTGAACAAAATAAAAATCAGTGCTTTGACAATTTTCTTCTTACAGTGGAACTGTGAAATACCAGGCACAAACACATCTCAAGGATTACAAAGCATGAGAAATTTAAAAACAAAAAAACCCAAACAAAGGAAAAACCCACATCCAGAACAACTCCTAATTGCAAGCACTACTTGTCCCAAGCTAACTATTATTATCAAGCAGAAGTTATGCAGCACATACGTGGGATGCCCATATAGAGAAAACTCTAGTTAGAAGAGTGAATTCTCCATATCCGTAAGGAGTTTGAAGATTTAGTGGTAACAGTGAGCTCACAGAATACCAGACTGAACAAACACCAACCACCCCAAAAAATAAAAGTCAATTGTGTAAGTTGAATAAATAAAAAAACTTGACCACGTTTCTTGCCTCTCTTGCCTGTATAACTGAGTAGCCTAGCAAATACTTTATGACCTTAAATACAATGCTCTGAAGAGCGTGGCCAATGCAAGTTATTTGGACACTAATTTAAAATCAAGTAAAGTTGAATGTAGTCACCACTGCATGGTCTACAAACTACTCAGCTTCTGTTGTCCACTTGTAGTGGAGGAACACTTCCCACAGAATACAAAAAGGAGAACAAACAGGAAACCCTCATGTTAATGAATACACAGCAGTCTTGTCCCTTCCTGCCCTTCAATAACGTGTAACCTGCACCTGACTGAAAAAGAATGCAGACGGTTCAATTAAAAAAAGAGCTAAATCTCATGAAAAACAGTCGCAGCTTATTCAATGTTTTAAGACCTTTACCTTGAAACAAAGGTCAAGTTGTGCGGGACTCCAGGAACCAAAGACTTATTCAACACTTCCAAAATGTCTGCACTACTTATGTTACACACGTGTATTTCTCTGCTAGCACATTGTGAAGCTTTTAGAACCAAGAGAATAGTCTTCAAGAAAGACTCATTTTGCTGTTTCCTGCTTTTTGGTGCTCCCAGATTTTTAAAAACAGCCTTAAAATAATTGCACACACACAGATGTGTGCAAGGAAGGAAGCAAGGAACTAAGATGAGTTTGACCAACTTATATTATCTGTGCTCTTTAAAACAACAGTTAACAGGCAGAGGCCAAAAAAGCAGAGATCTTATTTGAAATCAGTATGTCTAAACAGCTCCATCTACATTGCTTTTTGGTTGTAACAACATCAGATGATAACCAGAACCAAACTGTGAAATGCACATTCTGTCTTTGGGTTTTATACTATTTTTCTTGCTTTTGATTAGTTGGATTTTTTCACAATGTATTTAAAATATACCTATTTCCAGAGGAAGTGAAAAGAGATTTCATCCTACTAATCTTTCTCTGAATTTTTTGCATCCTGCTCAATGTATTTTTTGCACTGTGCACAAGTTTTCACAAGTTGAAAGAAAACCGCAACTTAAAAAATCTTAACACAGCATCTCCACAACACTCTCAGGCACCTGGTGCGATTTTTGGGCCTATCCTGTGCAGGAGTTGGACTTCAATGATTATTGTGGGTCCCTTCCATCTCATGATATCCTATGATTCTATTTTATTCTATGAGCTTTTGAAAGTCATAATTTTGAAAGCCTTTTTCCAAAATAATTTGCATAAAAAAAGTCTTATTATAATTTTGATCATATTGCACAAAGAAACACGCCCTTGTTTATTTGGTAAAGGAAGATGACAATTTATATGGAATATTTCGTATTTGGGGTTGGGCATCAGAAAACAAATGAGGTTTGTAAAAAGGTAAGGGACTAACACTAACTGAGTACAATGATGAACAGACTGCTGTAGTACTTGTTTAGTAACCTGTTATTATCCAGGGGATTGTGGCAGTTTTTTTGGTTCAGCCGCCCTTTACCAAACATATAATTTTGTTTCAACATCAGACTGAACGCAAAAGAAAACTAAAAAACAACCTGTGTGTAATTTGAGTTATAAATAGAAAGCACTGCTAGGTAATTTCTGGAGCATACCACCATTATGTAGGAAATTGAATAGGATACACAATGATAGAAAAGTATCCACAGTTTCCCAGCCTGTTGCTTCAATATTTCATTATTTCTCCCTTCTCTAGATGGAGACAAATCACTGCAGACAACACAGAAAACAAATTACAAGAACAATGAACATGCCAATAAGCAATTTTTATTTTTCAAACTCACAACTCCCCAGTGTCCAAATCAAGATCTTGCCTGAAGGCTCAGACAACCTACCTGGCTGTTCTATTAACCTCTTTCTTCTAGAGACACCATAGGATTTTATAGTTCTGCACAGTTACAATTTTTTACAATTATCTGGCTTTACTCAACACAAAGTTAAGAATTTCAAAAAAAGTCTTCTTGTATCACTAAAGTGACACAGTGAACCAAGTCCAGAAGACAACATAGGGATCAGTCTAATAACCTGTGTTCATTTTAACTCCCCCCACCCGATGAAGAGTTATGTGGTAAAGCAATACATTATTTGTTCTGAACGGACACCATAGACTCAAACAGTAACTAAAACTGAGCACTGCTTAATAAGGTTTAAAGCTGATGACTCATCAATTATACTTTTTCAAAGAGAAATAAGTAAAATTACTTTCTTTTTTCTCCCACACTGTTCATTCCATTTTCAACGTATACAGAAACGCCACCAAACTCCTCTGCCTGCTCCCCTTAATCTGTGTTCCATGTCAAACAATTTGACAGGTAAGAACTGAGGGAATGCTGAAAATTTTTTTTACCCCTTAAGAAGCATCTCTGACACGGAAGTATTTGAGTTTTAAACTCTGAGATTAACTGATCTCTATTTATAAGACCTGCTTAAGACTGATGACTCCTGAACAGTCTCACAGCCTGAGTTTGCTCAGTGCTTGCACACACCTCAACAGTTCATGCCTGTCCCCCAACACCAATTTTTTCTGGGCTCTCACAAGGCATACATTCTATAGTTCCATGGGTTTAGTTCTGAAGTTTCTTACAGCACAATGCATAACAAATTTATGCTTTGTCAGTTCTGGAGAGACAATAAAAAACATTCCTTAAAATAAGTAGCAAAAAAAAAAAGCATTTGTTTAAATTAAACCTATTAAGTTCCCTAAGTTAACTATGCCCACACATAAAGGTGATGTGTCCATCAACTGGTTTCAGGCTGAACTTAGGCCCCTCTGCTTCCTCCAACCCTAGAAGAGTTCCTTTGCCATACTTGCCAAAGCAGGGGAAAGGGTCCCTTTTACTTACTTGCCCATTTCTTCCACGTCTTACACTACACGTCATTGCTACTGGACACCTTTGTCTGTGACCCAAAACCAGAGTTTCATTTTTATTTTAAATTTAACATGGGGTTCTGTTTTGTAATGACATGCCAGAATTGAGCATGGCCAAGGTTGTGTTTTATCCTTCCTCACTTCAGAGTGAGACCTCCTCACTAAGCAGTGAGACACACAGAGCATGAAATGCCCAGTATCAAAGCTAGGCTTGAGTTTTGGGTGACAGATATGAGTTTTAAGGAGCTACTGGAGGCAAACCTGACTGAAAATACCTCCATTGGCCAAAAAATCAATTATTAAAACTGTACTCTCACTAACACAAGGAAATAAAATGTCTGTGCCTTGAAGTCTCTCAAACTGCCAAGAAATCACAGAGGTTCACACAGGGACATACACCCGTTCTCCCAGCCTTCTTTCATGTTTCAGTCAAGAAGAACCTTCCTCCCTCACTGCAAGTGCTAATTAGAAAACCCACGCAGCAGCCAAAAAAAGGAGTCTAACTATGGAGCAACATGATGGTGGTCTGGACATTCAGAGGGCAGGGCCACACTGTATTAAAGAGTGGCCAGGAAGAGACAGCTTGGTGAAGGGCCACATGTGCATGTGGGAGACACATGATCCCTTGAACCAGGGGTTAGTGCTGTTTACTGGAACGCAAAGCCATGAGTGGTCTGAGTTTCTATCCTGCCTGGGCTGGATGACCCAGGCCAGGAAGGAGCAAATTCCTGTTCAGAGGTATTTTTAAAGGTTCCACTTCATAAACAGGCTGAAAATGATAGCCTTCTCAACCTCAAAGGATTAGATCAACAGAACAAAAATCAGCACAGAAAAAGGCATTTTCTTAGCTGCACATAATCCCCTGACACTCAGAGACAACCTTACAATCAGCCTCTGCATCTTACAGAGCACAGTTTCACAGCTGTTGGGACAATCCTCACATGGTATGTGGAAGGCATAAGACAGTGATGGATGAGAAAAAAAAAAAGCTACGAACATCACACTGGTATCTACAAGAATACATTCTTACTTGAAAGAAATCACTTGGGCAATCTGAAAATCAGACTGGATTTTAGAAGGTCCAATACTGCAAAAACACTTAACGTGTTCAGAAAGAAGTCACTAGGAAGGTGTATGAGATGAAACTGGACCTCAGGATACACCAAGTTCTCACATCCTCACCAACTCCCACTTCTCTCCACTGTGACGGTTGGGAACCTGCACCTGTAACTGGCTCCCCTTGGAGAAGGCAACACTGAGCACCTCACAGACACACCCCCACACTGTATCATAAAACACTTCAAAAGGAGAAGGAAGAAAGCAAACAGAGCATCCCCTTATGACCCTTGAACATCAGAGCAGGGGGATTATGTTTAACAGTAAGTTCTCACAAACAAGCTTTAGGTCTTAAACCTACAGACAGGGCTGCAAGTTCTGCAGGCTAAGAGCCCTAAAGCTCATCAGTCTCTGTCCAGGTCCTACGGGCTGCAACACTCAATATGGGTGGTGCAGCTAAAAAACAAGAACATGCAAAGCAAGGCTGCTCTTCATACAAAGTAACGTTTTTTTCCAAGTGTGATTACTATTTGTGGAGGCACAGAGCAAATACGGAGGCATTTTTCCCCAAATATACTTAAACACAGACTTTAAAGCAGCAGAGAATGACATCTATTAACTCTCCTTTGATATCTTTCCAGAGCTGAAAGAAGGAAAAAGTCCCTCTCGCATCCTAAAATTGGCCACATATGTTATTTTATCCCCTAGGAATATGAATAAATAGTCTGAAAAACCTTCCACAGGCACAGTCTCTCTATAAGGGATAGTTAACTGCCAGGCAATACTGGTTACCTGCCTCCACCTACTGGTGAAAGGATATTCTGCACTAGCATTTGGAGACCACTTTGAGCATCACCAAGGAAGGTATCCCAAGGGAATAACCAGGTCTGTTAGAGTAGCATGCCAAAAAAACAATTCTTTTTATAATCTCAGATAAATTATATCTACCTAGAGTTAGACAGCTCTAGATTATGCCAGCTAACAGTTCATGTGTGGACCAGAACATTTTCTAAAACTTGTGCAGAGCTCAATGAAGAGGTGATGAGCATTTCCATTTATTTTTCCCAGCAGTGGCATTTAGACAGTCAGGCAGCAATACAGGATGTGAAAGGCTGTCATTCTGTGAACACAATTCCACTTCTGGGTAAAGCATTTCTTGAGCGCTGAAATAAATTACATCCTAACCAGGTGCACACAGTTCTGCTCAAGGTGCAACTATCAGAGAACAGGCTACAAACTACAAAGGACAAAAATCTCCAATGTTAACACAACATAATGCCAAGGCAGAAGAAACAATTATAGCTACTGGCCAGTAGCCAACAGGACAATGACCCTTTTGCTGCATCTTTTCTATGAGACATTTCCTCATCGTAGCAAAGATGAGGCTCTAACAAATAAGTGGACATTTAACAGTGATATGATACATTTTTTGTTTCAGAGGAGCAAAACACACTTCAAGATGGACTGGGGGGGCACACAAAGTCCTGTACTTTAAAAACACAACTGCCTTAAAAGGCATGTGATTCCTTCAGCAAGGTCTGCTACGTAAGATAAGCATCCTGGAAGTAGACAGCTGGAACAAAAGCAATTTACATTTCCAATGTTAATACACAGAGCTAAAAACCCCTGGCATTTAACAGCGAACACAGCGGAGCATTCAAAATCATTTATGAGTTCCAGTGTGTGACTAAGCTGCCAAAGTTGGTAGTGGTCATGTTTGAACTTCTCTCCACAGTCTAATGCAATCCTTTAAGTAGCCAGCTTCAATTAGTTCAATTCAAAACCTAATTTAAATTTAAAGTTAAGACAGTTGATTTTATTTAAAGCACCCTGATAGACTGTTCATCCTATGACCAGACTACTGAGTCTTCTCAGGGTGTGGTAGTTTGATCCTGGCTGGGCACCAGGTCTTCACCAAAGTCGCTTTGCCACTGCCCTCCTCAGCTGGATAAGGAAGAGAAAATAAGGTGGAAGTCTAGTGAGTTAAGATAAGGACAGGGAGAGATCACTAACCAGTTACCATCACAGGCAAAACAGACTCAATTTTGGTAATAAATTCAATTAATTTCCTCAATAAATCAGAGTGGGATAACAAGAAATAAAACCCAGTCTTTAAAATACCTTCCCCTGCCCCTCTCCTCCCTGGGCTTTAATTTACTCACAAATTCATTACCTTCTCCCTGCTGCGCTGTTGGGGAATGGGGATTGTGGTCAGTTCATCCCATATTGTTTCTGCTCCTCCTTCCTCCTCATACTCTTCCCCTGCTCCAGTGTGGGGTCCGTCCTACAGGAGGCAGCCCTCCACAAACTTCTCCAATGTCAGTCCTGCCCACAGGCTGCAGTTTTTACAAACTGCTCAGTGTGAGTCCTTCCACAGGGTGCAGTCCTTCAGAACAGACTGTTCCAGTATGGGCACCCTGCAGGGTCAAAGATCCTGCCAGCAGACCTGCCCCAGCTTGGGCTTCCCACAGTGTCACAGCCTCCCTCAGGCATCCAGCTCCAGCATGGGGTCCTCCAGGGGCTGCAAGTGGATCTCTGCTCCACTGAGGAGCTCCATGAGATAGCCTGCCTCACCATGGCCCTCATCATGGGCTTCAGGGGAAACCCTGCAACAGCACCTGAAGCACCTTCTCCTCCTTCTTCTCCACTCTCTGCAGGGTTGTTCTCTCACATATTCTCCCTTCTCTCTCTGGCTGCAACTGCTGCTGTGCAGCAGCTTTTTCCCCCTTCAGAAATCTGGTATCCCAGGGGCGCTACCACTGTCACTGATTGGCTTGGTCTTGGCCAGCAGTGGGTCTGTCTGTCTGTCCTGGAGCCAGCTGGCATTGGCTCTGCTGGACATGGGAGAAGCTTTACGCAGCTGCTCACAGAAGCCACCCCTGTAGGCCCCCTCACGCACACACACACACGCTACCAAAACCTGGCCATGCAAACCCAATACAGAGCCTTAGTCTATTTTTACAGTGGACTGGTTTTTTTTTCAGGCCCAGCTGTGAAACGGCTACAAGGACCATCAAATGAGCCACGTTAGTGTCTCAGCAGATGTATCGAAAGCTCTGATAGCTGTCTGCCCCAGGATTAATTCTCCTTTTTCAATACACCCAAGAAGACTGAGTTTCCAGAGTACACTGCTTCTATATTCCAGTCCTTTCACTAGCTACCAGTTACCCAGCCACAAGTCCAAATTCACACCACTTCCACTACAATCTGCCACGGATACTTTGTTGTTTGGACCATGAAACATAACACCGCAGTTTCACAACAGCTTAAACCCACCAGAGCAGGTTCATCCTTTCTGTGCAAGCAAAGATGCTGGAGAGCTGACTCATCTCCTCCCATCAGGACAGGACAGGTAGCGGGGCTTGCACGGGTCTCAACCTCAACTGGTTTCAGCTGGCACAAAACAACCCCCCTGTATTTTGGCTGCAGCACAGCCATCACTCCAGCTTTCAGCACAAGCTTCTTCTTAAAGTCCCTCAAAGTCTGACAAAACCTGTCTACAGACATACATTTACATACATTCTAATACAGCCAGCTAAGTCTCACCATGTATGTTACAAGTACGATGACTGCAACACAACAGCTGTTTCGGACAACAAAGTCCAAAAGATGCAGTGTCCTTTGGATATTAAAGTCTGTCAGAAATATTTCCACTATTTAGAGAAAGAAAAGCCATTAAGATTTTACAGTGTGACACAACCATGGTAATCACATCTTATATTTCAACCACAAGATAATTTCTGTTGCCTATAAAACCAGAGCATTTTAAAATGGAGCACATTTTAAAGGAGCACATTAGAACTGCCAAAAGCCTTATCCCACAAGTTTTGCATTTCTTTATAAACCTGCACAGTTTTACAGTAAACTAGTTCCTTTACACACCTTGGAAACTCTGTGGTGACATAATTTCAGCTAAGCTATTTCAGATCTTGACAAGATTTTTCCAAAATGTAGTACTTAGATGCTCCACACATCAGAAAACTAGTTAAGGTATGAGCATGACTAAAGAAATACAGCTTCAGAGACTTAGACTTCACTCAACCATCTGTTGGCTCCTGTCACATTCTTGTATAATTGCACACTCCTTTGTGGCATTCCAAATTCAGGATTACATAAAGTATCTTCAGTTGAAAGCTAATCCACAATTGCATTATCTAGGTATTATCTGTGAGGTAGTACTGCCTACACTGTGGCAAGTATACAAATTGTGAATTATTTCCTTTTAAACAGAGCTGCACTTAAAATTTCATACACAAGGACAAAACCTAAATTATGACTATATAAAATACTTCACAAAATGCCAAATATTCTAACAAACTTATTCAAATGTTCAAAATGCATTTTGCAGAAGCAAAACCAATGAATTGTTTTAGGAATAGAGAACAAGCAAAAAGAGTATTTACTCCCAAATGAATAATTTTCTCGTGCCATTGCACCTACCTCAAATTCTTACACCTTAATGGATGACGAATTTTCATGTCTTACACTCTACAACTGGAGATATTAGCTTAAAAACCATGTATCTGTTTATAAAGTACATCTGTTCTGCTTTCCCAAGAACTGCTTACAGTTACAATATTCTGTTAATATGCCCTGCTGATTCTTAAAATAATGCTTTTAAACTCAAAAGTGCTACAAATTCAGCTGAAATAATGAAAAAAGACAAGTTAGTCAGCAAAGCCTAAATAAAAGTCATTAAAAGTAGAAAAAAACAGCTCGTAGTAGATTTTTAGTTTTTTCCTCCTTTTTTATTTAACTGAAAAATGCAACCTATCCAACTGCAATACATATAAAGCAATATTTGCTACATCCAGATATCATACCTGTGTGAAGTATTTTCCATCTTGTTTCAGAACTTTCATTGAGAGGTCAAGAATCAACCGCAGAAATTCCCATGTGGAATCTGCATACAGAGAATGATTGAAAAACAGAACAGCACATTCCTGGTTTATTCATTTATTACGTACTCAAGACTTGCAAAAAAGCCACTGTTTGAAAAGCAGCTGCTCTATATCTTAAAAAAATAAAATAGTAAAAAAAAAAAAAAAAAAAAAAAAAAAAAAAAAAAAAAAAAAAAAAAAAAAAAAAAAAAAAAAAAAAAAAAAAAAAAAAAAAAAAAAAAAAAAAAAAAAAAAAAAAAAAAAAAAAAAAAAAAAAAAAAAAAGGAAAAAAAAGCCTGGTAAAAAAACCCAAACACAAACTATATGCAATGGCAGCGATGATGGAAGTACTGCTACTTTTCTTCGCAGTAATTTTCCAGAAATTTCCAAGAAATTATAAAGTTAGGAAATTTACTGGAGTAAGAACTCCTAATATTTTCTAATGAACTACATGAGTTCATATTATTCTGGAATAAGAGCACAATTTAAAATAGTTCTAGGTACTTGCTAGTCTTTTCTAACATTCAAGAAAAATTCAGAAAAGAACAGATGTGTTACTATCATTCTTTCCCTCTCAGATTTCCTATTAAGAAGGAAAAAAATTGAAGTACTTTTGCTGCAAACTATTTTAAAGCTGAGAGATAGAAATGTTGAAATTCTCAGAAGTTTAAGAAAATAAATTAGAAGATTTACCTTCCTCTGGAGATGTGGAGATTGGAACAGCTGTCAGATCATTAATTACATAATCAAACATTCTCCCTTCTTTGGCATACCTCTTCAGTACGGGAATACAGTCTTCAATTAGAACCTGTAAGAATGAAGTATTTTAGGCAGTCCTCAAAATACCCCAAAAGTGACCAGGTAAAAGGAACAAATGTGGATTCACAGGAATTTAGAGGTGAAAAGCACAAAATTAAATATATGATTAATTTTACACTCCATTTTCAACATGATATACGCTCCATTTTTACATGATATAGAAGGAAGGAAGTGCCATAGAAATTATAAAAGTGACAACACAGGCACTCCAGTCCTGAACTTCCTAGCTCTGTCACTGACTGCTGGGTGACCACTGTTCCGTCTACCAAATGGTAACAGCAGTTAGTTGTTAGTCTCAACAAATGAGTAAAATAAGGTATTTGTATGCAAGGCCACTGACTCGTGACTTCTCCAGTAAGTTTTTGTGCCATTTTTTTTTAGCTCACACCTGCAGGTTAATATCTCTGAGAGCATATAAGGAACAATAATGAAAACAGAATGAAAACATCAGATTACACCTGGGCTAGGTTGTAAGTTGTGTTAGATCCAGCACATAAAGACCTTAACTGCAGAAATGCATGACGTTTGTTGGGGGATTTTATTATTATTTTTAATGTCATAGCAGAGAGAGATTTTGCCCGCAAATTCAAAATAATTGTTAACTGTGTATTATAAATTCAGATATTTTCAAGAGTGTAGGTCAACTAACTTAATTACACATTTCTTCTATCTCTTAAATGACTTAAGGAATAATGTTTAAAACTACATTTGTACAGACATTTTCTCTTATTCATAAGCTATGGCAACAAACATTCTCCTATTTCACACTCCTTATATATGTGATTAATTTCAGAAGTCTGAAGACAGACAACTAAAATATTTTGATGCTAATATATACTTCCAACACAAATCCCAGCTTTTAAAATTTGAGAGTGACATAAAAAAAAGAAAAAAATAATTCCTAAATTTAAGAAAACTCAGAAAACTTGTACCCAAAACTTTACCACAGCAGTCTTCCAGGTTACGTATAAGTGCATTTGAACTATTACTTCTAATGAAAGAAAAGCAAAGCATTACCTGGTAGCACTCTCCTTTCAGATTGTCTAAGACATCTCCGCATGTTTTACGCATGTACTTTTTACACCCGTCAATCACCATTTGGTCAATGTTTGAAGCTTGTTAAGGCATGGTACGTTCAAGAAATATCAGAGGCAGCACTTCCTATTTCTTCAGAAACAAATTCTCAAAAAGGTGCCATTCACAAAGGAATAATAAGATGTGTCTACTGGCATACATACTGCAACAGCCAACCTTATGGACTGGGCTCCAGATTCAGTTAGAGGTTTAGGAAAGGCCTTATTTTTGGTTTTAATCAGTATTTTTGATATTTGAGGTTATCATCACTGTGAAAGCCTGAAATGTGAACTATTAAGACCATCAAAACCCCCATAAAGTTAAACTAGGTTGAGACTTTAACCTACAGTTATTTAAAACCATTATTAAAACAATTATTTTCAGTTTTAGCAAAGGGATCCCAAAACCCAGGGGATCAATATTTCATATGGCTAACAGTGGTTTGCATTACAAACTATATGAACTAAGAATGTTGAAAACTTGATTTGTATTGGTATTTTTAAAACAGCGTTGGTCATTCTGCCACCAATACAATTCACCAAGTCCTGACAATCCTACTAATTGAACTTTTTTGCTTCTAGGCACTATTATTTATAGATTTTTTTAGAAAAACTGAAGAATTCAAGAGGGCACAACTGAGCCCAAACCACAGACTTGACAGACCTGTCTTCTGTTATCAGAGAAGGCATCAGTCTGGTGACAGAAGCATTCCTTTCCAGTTTTACATAAACTGCTACTCAAAGAGTCATAGAACTTGAAAGCAGGTGCTACATAAAGATGCTCAGATATGTAGTCACAGATATGCAGTCGCCCCTAGTAATGGATCTCTGTAAGCTGACAAAAAGAAATTTTATTTTAGATTCTATTTTCTAATGCAAATCAGAACCTGGCAATTAACTGTGCTATGGTACCAGCAGAAATGCAATCTGAAAAATGTGGAAATGAATGATCGTCTGTTTGTCAAAGGATATCTCTACCATAGTAACCATCTTTGGCTTCAGTTTGACTATCTCATATAGTATACCTCCATCACCACCTCCTAGGATTAGCACTTCTTTCCCAGTGTAGTCTTCCTTTCCACTGCCCATTATGGCTTTAGTATACGCCAGGTCACTTTCTGCCAGATCTGAATGAAAGGAAGAGAAAGAGTTGGAGATAAATATTACATCTTTTGTTTTTCTCATTAATTGATATTAATCCAAAGGTAATATAATACAGAACAAAGTAAGAGCATCTACAGAAACAATGTAGTTCTCTGAGACAGCCCAAGTAATGGGATCCTCCTCAGAATCCCCAACAGGGTTTCTCTAATTCTCAATGCGAACCCAGCGATGGCTACCTTGGCATTAGGAAGTATTGTGTGCCGGGAGAAGAAAACTGGTGGAGCAAAACTGTCAGTACTTAGGATTTGATGTCCACACTTGATACTTCAATGGCTTTTTACCTACAACTAGTCCTGCAAGGGACAGATCAGGACAATTTTGAAAACGCACTGTGGACTCCAGCCAAAGATAGTAACCTAGATGCACACCAGGGGATCCCTGCACAGAAACATGAATACAACCATTACCCCCCAACTGCTGAAGGGCCCTAAAGCATGGGCATGGCACTGCTGGCTCGTGCAGCACTAGCTTCAAAGCAGACAGCAGCACTCCTAAGTTGTAACAGCAGACCTGAGCCACAAGGGCAAAGCTTTGTGCAAGCAGCACATCATGGCATATCCCATCATTCTGCCTGGCAATTTACTTATAAGTGCAGAGTAACCAGGAGACAAAGCAGTATTTTAAAACCCCATGGAACGTAAACAAGTACTAGTACACTTTCTTTTCTCTGAGGCATATTGTGACAACATTCCTTATCTCCATACTAAAGTCTGATGGGAGCCCCCGGTAGTCTAGGGGAAAAGACACTGCACTGTCACTGCAGAGACCCGGGTTCGATTCCTGGTCGGGGCCCCTCCCCGGGCAGATGGAGCTCGTTAGCCCTGTAAGGCAATCCATCTACGTCCTGAGGACCTCGCTGCCACCGTCCAAGCGTGCTTGGCCCCGGCAGACGAACCTCAGGATTAAAGGGTGGGCTCAGTTCCGCGCACGCTGTGTCTCACCTAAAAAATCCAATGCGCAGGCTGGAAGGTGTAAAGACCTTCCCCGGTTCTTCGTTCGCGAAGAGACTGGCCATTACTAAAGTCTGATGAAAATTTCTGGCTAGAAGTATGAAATAACTAATTTGGTGATTTCTAGTACAATTCTATCTGAATTAGAAAATACCTTACTAATGTATTCTGTAACAATGCTTTTCAGCTGCTGTCTGCACAGAAGTCTCCAACAGCTACAGAAAGCTAACTGAATTGTTAGAGTTATTTAAAAAAGCTATAGTTAAATTTCTTAATTACTCTGCTATTAGAGTGAAATTAGGTATTCTATCCTTCATTTACCACAGTCAGTACTTTTCAACATAAGAACTGAGAGATTTTACAAAGTATACTCCTTGCTACCTAGATTTTCTAGCAAACAGCAGTCTTATCCAGCTCAAAAGAAGAGTAGTCCACCTTCTTCTAAGTTCACTTTCAAAAATACAAAGATCGCAGGCACAAAGCACCACATACAAAAACCCTTAAAGGCTGGGTCACTCTGTCAATTTACTTAAAAGTTCAGTTGGGCATTCTGAAGAAGAGTCAAAAGATGTTCACAGCAAAGCAGCTAAATGGTTTGAGATACAGTTGTCCTAGATCTCACCAAGGAAATTCCCTCAAAGAATCAAAGCAACAGCAGGAATACACACACAGACAAACATGCCAGCTCCTATTTCTTCATATTTCTTTAGAATTCCATTGTGTTTTGAAGACCAACAAAGTAGCTTGTTTTACTGTCAAAGAGAAACTCTCAGGAGGCTGGGCTGGCAACCAACATGAAAAAGCTCATATGAAAGAAAGGAGTAGAGTAAGCTCTTCTATAGAACACTGTCTTCTATTCTCCTGTGCTGCTTACCACAGCAAAGACAGCAACTTTGGGAAAAGGAATTTTATTTTTTTACTCCTACATTTTAAACTAGTCAGCCTTTCTGATTAACATACTTAATATACAGAAACAAATATATGTGCACATGCATGTGCAGTTTCCAGCATCAGAATAATGACCCTTAGTCATCTGTTAAAATTGCCACAGCAGGACAGAAAACAACACTTCCAACATTTTCACTCAAAAGATCCTCAAATGAGATGACACTTACTAACATCCCCACTGAGGATAAGAATATTCCCAAACTGTTTTGAATGCAGAATTTTAATATTCTGAAAAGGTGAATCTTCATCATAAACAACTTCATCTATGTCATACTCCACCAGGCGTCCATCAGCTGTGGGCCAGTATCTATCAATGACACCTCCTCTCAGAATGGCTGGCAAACTAGAAAGAAACAGAAAGAAAAAAGATTACAAAACATTTGGCACGCTTATTTTTTAAAAAATCCACTTTAAACATCCTGTGGATTTACCATAATAAATAAATTACATTTACAAGAGGGATCTAAGAAAACTTCCCACATTTAACACTCAACAGACAGAAGAAGCCCATCAGCCATAAATATGCATTATAAATATACATAATAAATATACATAACTTGGTAAGGCACAGATGACATAAATGGTTCTTTATGTATATCTTCTACAATGTGCATGTGAATCTCTCTCATTCTAAGAGAGGGAATTTACATAACATAACAGCCTCTTTAGAAGAATCAGCTCATGACTAGAAATGAGTACAATACAAAAGTAGAATGCAAACAAAAAAACATGACAAAACCTCTTCCCACCTTCAGCTCAGCTAAGAATGTCATTTGTTTGAGACCAGTGAATCTCACCCTTCTCAAGTTGTACTGAGAACCATTTAATATACAGAGAAACATAAAAAGTGAATTATTACAGTGTTTCAAACTGAGCTAGGTCACCCTGCAATGTATAAGCACGATCCTTGATATTAGCTGACAGTCTGCATTACTTTTTAAAAGGAGTTCAAGCGTCTGCATAATTTTGTTTTGTTTTGTTGTTTATGTTGTGGGTTTTTTTCATTCTTGGTTCAAATCAGTATTTCACCTGTAAAGACAAACTATATTTGAAATTACTCTGAATGATCAAAACGATTGCACTTAGGCAAGATGTGCAGGCATAGGGTTCATCAGATTTTCCACACACACTTCAAAGAGTTAAGGGTTTTCTTCCAAAGGAGGGTGTAGCACAAGACCAGACACAGACAAGCTTCTTCTAAATTCACTAGGGATTCTCAATAAACATTTCAGAAATCCATCCTACCCTCAGTGAGCCACACGATGGCAGCACACAGTGAGAGCAAGATCACCCACTCACTACCTAAAACCAACAAAAAGGCAGGAAAAACTTTTCCAGCTACATTATTTCCAGCAGCGCTGCATGCACGAAGCTAACACCAAAAGGATGCAAAACAAATTAAAAAAAAAAAACAAAACACGTTGAGGGGTGCGTGACAAGATCCATGCTAGATACACTGTTCTAGACAGTTCATCTTCCTGTGTTAAAGGTAACCAAATGATCTAGATCAGGCAGATGTTGTCCTGACCCATTTTTAAGAAATTCCTATCACAGAGATTCCACAAACTCCCAATATCATATTTCAGCATCAAAATATCCTCAGAGAGCTTCTCCCCCATAAACACATACACAGTATCATCAGTGTTTATACACCGTGTACCTTGTGAGGCTTTACCAGCTTGAAGGAAAGCAAGATAACCACTTCTCTGTTTTACACACAACTGTTAAGGAGAAATAACAATATTCAAGGTATAACGTCACTTTTCAAATCACTACCACTTTACTTGTGGTCTCAGATTACTTTCTCCTATAGTACTTAACTGTTATACAGTGCTTAACTGTTCTCCCATTTTGCAGTTTGCTCCTTGGCTTTACTGAATTTTGTTGGTTTTACACTTGCTTTTTCATTTTCTTATTTCCCCTTCTATGTTCCTTCAAGCATCCACTGCACCTTCCACCAAGTGCATGCCTGCAGTAAGCGCTCCCTGGCTTCAAGGTGTCAGTCACTGCCAGAGAGTCACAAGGACAACATGAGCCATGTCCAGAGCGAATGTTATTTCAGCAGCAGGCCACAAGCTACAATTTGAATCCTTACAGTTTAACGTATAGCCCTGAGTTTAAGCAATCCAAACTGACAGATGGCTTGCAAAGCCCCCATTGTTCAGTTATCAGTTATATTACAAAAATTTGCTACAAAACATTTCTATCTTCTTGGCAGCTCCCTAAGCACACAGGTTCCACCAAGGTTTTTGCCACACAAGCCCACAATGAGCACTGTGAAGCACAGCAGAGGCGGAGCTGTGAGAGAAAGAGCTGTAGGAAATCTTGTCAGGGCAGGGTCTCCTCCATGGGCTTGAGCTTCATTTTAACTCTAACCCTTGCCCCTGGTCCACGTTCCCACCTGCACAAGTTTTTCACCAATCCTTAACACCCAGTTTGCCGTCAGAGCTGCCTCAGTACTACATCCCAGTCTGACAGACACAGAGCTGGGTTTGATCCTCGTCATCATCACCAGTCCTGCTTATCTTCTCCATGAGCTGTGGGATGTGGCCTGTAGGGTACAGTTTATGCCTTGGTCTATTCCCCTAACACTCTTGGCTCCCCAGCCCTTCCAGAGAAGTCTGCTCTTGCATCCTGGTTGCCTATTCTCACATTATTTCATGCAACCACTGCAACAAACTAAAAAACAAACAAACAAACCCCAGCCAAAACACACAAACAACCAAAAATACAAACCCCATGAAACAAACCCCACAAAAAACCCATGCCCTGTCCTGTAAGTAAAAATACCAAAGATGAAGCTTAAGAAAATGACAAACCCCACAATACTTTCAATTCTGCAATAAAGCAATTTTAAAATACTGGAGACAAAAAAACGATGCATAAATTCATACTCCTGGTATTCACTGCAGTACAGCAAAGCATAACCTGCTTCCTATCTTTAGTAACTATGCAAACAAGACACATACAGAAGGAGAGGTACAAACTTACCGTTTCACCCTTTTTATATTACCATGAAACAGTTCTTTCATTCTTTCTTCTACTTTGTTTAGAAGCTGGAAAAAAACAGCAAATGAGAGGCGGAATTTTTAGGTGACCACTTAATACAAAATATCTCCTAAATTAGGCTACCTGGAAGGTAGCACCTGCACTGAAAGGCTATGAAATGTAACATTAGAAGCCCATGAGTAACTGGCTGGCCCCTTAGCCTGGTTACTAGCAAGAATGTGCATATTATAGCAGCTGTCATCACTGCATTTAGCTTTCTCAAGGACAAGAGAGCCAGAAGGGGGACATGAGAAGTCCAAGGTTCCATTCCTGCTAAAGCAGTGACCTATTCCCCTGCAATATCCAATGTCTGGAGCCTTCTTATAAAGGAAGATGAAGTTCTTTTCCTCCATGGGGAAAAAGATTGAATATAGAGGCTCCACATCTCTCAGAATAGAGAAGGAAAAGGCATAATACATCAGGTACATCAGGTTGCAGGTTGAGCATCACTTCTCCCTCACTGCCCTGAGTACCTAAAGAGAACTAAGCCCTAACCAAGGCTGCTACATCTTCAAAACTTTTACATCAAAGAACACAAGGGCCAGTACATGCAAAAAAAGAATGTGTGTGTGCATGTGTGTGTGTGTAGGCATGCACTGACATGTGCATGCATCTTCAACAGGTGTTACTGTTCCTCATCTGTAAGCATTCAGGTTTGAACAGACTTTAATATTTTAAAATCTTTTACCAAGATATATTTTGATAGACCTGAAGAAAAGAAGGGTCACCCCATGCAGCTGGGTAAGCCTAGTAAAATAAGCAGTACTCATACCTGATCAACTTCCTCTCTTCCTTTCACATGATCATTGTAGCTCTGCAGATCCACCAACACTAATCCATGAGGGTGAATTCTCAAATTGGCAAAACTACAACAGAGAGAGAGAGAGTGATGACAAACTTATTATCAAAAACCAGAGTGAGTGAGGAAAGAAAATCTGAAACAAAATTATATTAGATTCAGAATGAATGGGGGTTTTTCCAGCATTTGTTAACTGCTTGCGGTGGAAGCTCCAATCTTCCTCTTCAAGTCACTAAGTAGCAGACAATTTCAAGAACTTGCCTATCACTACACAATTGATAAAATCAGTAGGCAGCAAGGCAGTGAAATAGGGTGTCCAAGCCACAACCACCACAGTACAACAGGAAAATACACTGTCAAATCGTCTCAGCTCTTTAAGTAAAGGCCCGGGGTGAAACAGGTCCAGTGAAACAGGCCCTGTGTAACAGGCCCTGTGTTGCGCTGCTTTGGGCTTTTAAATTGAAATCAAGCCTTAGCAAAACAACAGGAGACTTTTTTTCCCCTATTTATTTCCTTCTCGCTTCTAGGGGGTGTTGGTTTGGGGTGGTGTTTTTTTTTATTTTTTCAGCAACTATTTAGAGACACTGTGTAAAACAATAAGTATGCTGGAGCAAACCATGGCTTTGACTGGTAAAGAAATTGCAGCAGCACACTCTCATTGATGAATACAGATGCAAGGAAGACAAAACGACTACCACTTACACTGCAGAAGCTTTTAAAGATCAAAGAGCAAAGCTTCACCATGCTCAGTGTTAGGTAAACAAATAGTGGACCTTGGAGAATTTGCAACTAACAAAACAAGAGCTAAGGACAACTGAGAAGGACACAAGAAAATAAAACAGTGTAGCAGAGGCAATATGTTTTCCATCATAGGGAGGAGAGAAGACAAAAGGAACAGTAAAGCTACAAGGGCATTACATAAAGGAAGGGAGGGGGAAACACACACTGAAAAAGAAGAGCAGAAAAAGGAATGAGAACAGAAACATCGCTGAGCAAAGAAAGAAGGATATCCAGGGATAGTTGTTCATTAGTACAACACAGAGAAACTTCAGATAAGGCTGAATGCTCCTTTCTTTGCTTGTCTGCTCTTATCACCCCACTCAGCCTCACAGGCAAAACACAAACCAACTCTTGCTATGACAAAACGTTTAGATGACCTCCCAGCTCCCCACCACTCCCACCTTTTTTTTGTCCCTTCCAGAGTTCCTTTTATAAACTGTCACACTCAGTATGAACACCCTCTCCTGTGGTGCTGGAAACCTTGGTCCTTAGCTGCAGACAGAGATAAAACCCTGAATATTCCGTGCTATCTGAAGATCTTAATTTTTGGTAACTGTAAAATGATCATATTATGAAACTGACTGAAGCAAATCAAGAATGAAAACGCTCCTGCTGGCTTTGGACAGCAGCAAGCTGGAGCTGTGATGTGTCTGCAGCTGGCAGAGAAGCTACTGTCATCCTCTTCTCTTCAGAAGGTGGGTGGGGAGGCTGAAGCTTTCCTCAGGACTCTACACACAGGTCTTGCCTTCAAGAAGGAAAGATGTTTCTATACAACATGTACTTGTCCACTGTGCTTCCCTCATCCCAGTGCCTACAGACTGTCACCATCTTCGAGCAATCCTCCCCCACCCCAAGAGCTTGCCCCCAAGGTGCCCTTTCCCAAGAGATTTTGGTTAGGGAACACAAAAGCCTACCAGGACTCTGTTTACATCATTTTCATGTCAATGCATTTATTTTGGGATGTGTAACACACAACAAAAAACCCCACAGGCATAAGCATAAGAACAAACAACTTTATTGCAAGACTCCGGGAGATAGTATCTTCTGGTTTGGGTTTTTTGTTGGTTTGTTTTGTTTTGGTTGTTGTTTTTTTGGTTTTTTTTTCTAAAGGAGAAAAAGACAAAAGAGAAGAGCTCATTAGATGGAAGTACTGGTCACTCCAGAACACTTCGGACACAACCACTCACAGCAAATATGGACATTTCTTGTCAAGTCCCTAGACATGCTCCAGGCTCTCAAGCTGTTGTACTACAGATACAAGTGAATATATGCAGTTCATGGGACAGCACTGTTATTAAATTTCCTGAAAACTGGCATTTCTGTGTCAGAAATATTTCCACTGTTCAAAAAACTTTTTTGAGTTTATTTCCATACTCCAGAAGTTGCTGCTGGCGCAAATGAGCAACATATTGATTGTCCCATGACTCAACTCCTCTTTTAAATTCCTGTTCTACAAGAATTCCATACTTTCATAAGATTTGACAGCTGACATGGTCTTCACTTCCCCTTTGATGGCAGGAGTTGCTCAGCAGGGGACGTTACTGCCTCTGCTTTGGGGTGAGAGGCAAGGAGAGGCAGAGGGGAGAGTTGTTTTAAAAAAGCACAATCACAGAACTTCAGATTTATTAAGGGAGATGCTAGCATTAGAATACAGAGACAGTAACACTGCAGAACCATCACTCATTTCATCAAATTGTTCCATCTACCAGAACAGCAGGGTCCTGACATCTGGGGCAGGAGGGAAGAGATGGAAAGGCTGGCACCAGGCTGGAGCAGTGCAGTGGGACAAAGATTCAAGTTCCAAGCATCTGCCTGGTATTCTTAGACAATTTATGGTAAAAAAAAAAATTACTAAATTCAAAATTTTTAAAAGTCAGTACAAATGCAGGTTGGTTACACTTCTTTGTAAGTCACCTAGCTGAAAATGAACACCCAAAGTAACCTAAAATGCCTGTAAAGATTTAAACATGCAGCAAACAGTACAAGTGTAGTCAAAAGTGACCAGTCTAGTAGTATTAAGGTAGCAGCAGCAGCACAGTAAAGCTGAACCCACAAAAGCTTTAATTAGCAGAGAGCAAAGGCTGTGCTGGCTTTTGTTACTTTACATTTGTCTGCTTGGTAGAATGCATGTGAATGCAGGTTTGAAGGAGCAGCAGCTCTTTTAATATATGAAAGAGGGTTCTTAAGTTTAAAAGTCTCCCCTCATCCCTCTTGTCTTTCTGAGAAATATAATTCCTGTTTTAAAAATAAAACACCTGCCACACTTCTGGTGCATGCTTGCATGTACCTTCATAAGAGCAATGAGGAAAAAAGCTCAGTGAAGAGGTATCTTCTTCCTTTACATTAGGCAAGGAAATTGCCTCTGAAAAGCAGCCCCTACTGTAACAAGGTTCCACTTGCTGCACCTGCAGAGGAGCCAGGTCTTCTCAGGCAGTGCTCAAGCTTTTTTTGCTTGTGTGCAAAGGAGTGTCAACAACAGCAAAACTTTCTGCTGAGTGCTGAGTCTGGAATGCTCCATCTTAGCACCTGAACAACAGGGAACATGGGATGTTAACAAATAATTCCCAACCGCACAAATCAAAAAGTAACTGCTTGAAACAGTGTCCTCTTTACTTAAAAAGAACTAGAAGCGGAAAGACCAAAACATCCTAAGCCAAAATGTGTGGCCTACCTTAGTTACTTGTAGGGGACTAAGAAAAATTGCAATTCCATGTATTTCAGAAAGGATTTCCCAAGAGCACCCCACCCAAAGAATAGAACTAGATAGACAGACAGACAGACGCCTATAAATTCCTCTTTATCCATCAAAGTTTCATATGTTGGCACTAGCTTTGAGTTACTATAAAATACACAAAATAACTCAAGTATTTGAAAAATAGCTTGCTAGTAAAAGCATCACCAGTCAAATTACTCAATGAGGAAGAAAATGAAAATCTGCTTATACTAGGAAATTAAATTTTTTTTTAAAGTCGTGACACTGTTTCTTTGAAACAATTTTTTTTTGAAGTGTTCATTTTAATTACAAATTACTTAGAGACCTTTAGGAACAAAGCAGTCACATTTTTTTTCACTGCACCATTATTCTCTTCTTTTTGCAAAATAAGAAAATTAAACAAGTGAAAGCTACAACAGTTCTAAACTGTTGCTGATTCCTACCAACTACTTCCTATTCTTCAGCTCATTTTTACACTCTGGGTAACTACATGAATAAACTACAACATTTTAGCCTAAAACAAAGAGCTAAGGAATGTTCATCCTGCTCCTTTAAAACATGCTGACTAGCATACAGAGTGGTTAGCAAAAGACTAACACAGAAAAGAAAAAGTAAACACACTCACCCCTCCCTTCACAGTGTTAACATATTCATCATCATCTGACACACAAACCAAATTCAACTGAGTGTATCTTGCACTGTTGTGAACAGTGAAGCCAAACACCAGCAGGATTACACTTCTCTAAACAAGAATTCAGACACAGAACAGAAATTAAAAATGGGTATGTCTATAGCAGAGGCCAAAGCTTTTCTGAAAGACAGTCTTCTACTGCAGAAACAGTGGCTCGAGGTTCGGGTTTTGTGGGGTTTTAAAGAACTTTCAGGTGGAATATGAGAAGACAGAGAGCATAGATGCACAAAGGACAGAAAAACGCTGGTGGGTGCACACAGTGTAGCAGAAGAACAATTGCTCACAAGCAGTGATGACACTAAAGCTAGTATTTGGAAACTGAAATCTTCTCAATACTGTATTTTAATGATTTTTTTCCTTGTCCTAACTTACACAACTCCTAATAATCTTTTAAAATATACTGGGCACTATGACTCTACACAAAGCACCATATATGTTAAATGAAATAAAAACTTCCTATTTTTTTGAACTAAACTTTTAACTGTCCAATTCAAGGGATCTAAGTGGCACTTCAGTAAAAGCATGCTGCTTAATGGGACCCTGAAAACATTCTGAAACTGATCTGGAAACAGATTCACTAAAATGAGACTGGTGGTGCCCCAAAACTCAGACACCGAGCTCCTCTCCTACATGTGCAACAGTTCCACAAGTTGCGCTGGAGAAAGGGGCTGGCAAAGCAGAGAGGGGTGTATCCATCCCCACCACTACAGACAAGAACTGAGTGGCTCAAGTGACCCATTTCCTGCCCGACTCTAGAGCCTTGTGTCGACAACCCCATTAAAAAATGTTTTCAGCTGGACCTCCCTCAATTAGGTCCTTTGTCAGAGTAAATCACCAAGTAAATGGACCAGGTAGAGTTGCCACATGTGACTTTTGCTTGCTTAGCTTCGGACAAAGGAGAATAGGGATCTGTTGCTTCGGTAATGACAACAGGAAAGCATGTCTTAATCCCTACATCAGCTCCAATTCGTTTCACGACCAAAGCCCTCCATGGGGCCTGTTCACGTGGTATCTTTGTCAGAGACAAAGTTTTGACAAGAGTGGTGCCCACAGTTCAACCCTCCAGCACGGGGCACACTGCAGGCTGTGGGGGTTATCTCTGCAGACTTTGGAGTGTAGACACTGTTTAGCAATATATTACTATCTCACCTCAAACATCATTTTCCAGGGATTAGTACCCAGCTTGTTACATCAGCTGTGCATTTTTGTATAGCAAAGGCTCAGTCACTTTTGGCTGGCTAGAAGTGTGTTTGTGTGAACATACTCACGAAGCTGCCGCTCCCATTCAGCATCAATTCCTGCAGCTTTCATCCTCTGGAACTTGGGACAAGTTACACCTAGCCATCCTCAGAGGAAACTGCTCATGACATACCTACCCTCCTCATCACAATTCCTTTTTTCCCAGTTGTTACTATGAGCTAGTTTCATTTTGTAGGAAGAGGAAAAATCTGTACGAGCTGGCTAATGTCTTCCTAGTTGGGTCAGATATTTTTATGCTAATTTAAAATGTATGACATTTGAAGTCACTAAGATAAAATGCAAATGTGCTGGTATTAAAATAATGCCTATTTAGTGAGTATCAAATCCTCCATGGGCTCATCAGTTCATTCTGTGTTTGTTTTGCAGGGTTTAACTGTCCAGTCTATTAGGTTTTATGGGTTTACACCTTCATTTGTTTCAGTTAACTGAAACTATATCAAAGAAATACAAACAAACTACATTAAGGCAACCTTAAACAGCATGTTTCTGTTAAAAAAAGTATACACAGTTTCGGCAACCACAGGGAACAAAATTGCTGAGGTCCAAAAACTCAGAGAAAGTTCTCTTGCAAATGCATGCCCCAATTCAGTTCAATGGGGCGGGCAAAGCACAGAAGGTATTTTAGCTGGACAACTTATTTCTGTAGTAGTGCTGGTTAAAGTGAGCAATTTTCAAGGAAGATAAATACAGTGTGCACTGGAGCTCAGACAGCAATGAATATACCAAGAGGAAGCAATAACCACTTTATTAATTTACATTTAATACTGCACCAGAAAAGGAATTGTTCATTTGCAAGGGGCTATCTCCTTAATACTCTTCCACACACTCTTGTTCTTCAATCTTCAGTTTTGAGGCTGTACCCCAAACTGCAGTTCTTCATTATGTTTAGCATACTCTCCTGGAGAGCTTTCCTTAGAAGCTCAACAGCAAAAAATGGCCAGAGGTACAGAGAACCACACCCCAACAAAACAGACCCTTCTCCTTCCCTACAGGAAGCCCACCAGGTACACTTTCCCCATCTTCATCCTCCCACAGTGGTTAAGAATATTGTGAACCACCCTCTGCTGCAAAAGGAGAAGTTATATTTAGCTGTATAGTGAAAAGCTGGACTATTCAAAGTGTTGCAGTGCTGGAAAGTACAAGGCTAACACAAGTAAAACCCACTTAGAAACCTGTCCCAAAGCTTAGCAATTGCTCATCTATCACACATGGCTTTCAGGAAACAGCGTAGTAGGGCAGTGGGGAGAACAGGATGCTATCTACATGAGGACAGTTCTGAAGCAACTAAAAACTGAACAAAAGGTAGATTTCATTAATTTACAGTTCTCCAATACGCTGCCAAGGCTATACTCAGAGCAATAAGGATATCCATATGTGGCCTGTGCTTTACCAGGGAAAACAGCAACTTGACCAACTCCTCTGTATCCATGAGAGCACTGTACACAAGTGTACCGGTTTGTCTCTCCCAGGAATTACTCCCTACCCTTCCTACACAGAGAAATCAACTTTCACATCTTCTCTCCCTCCACACATTCATTAGTATTATACTCCAGCACTTCACAAAGACAATGGAATTTGCAGCAACAAGTATTTCCAGTTGGTAGTGCAGTAAGAGAAATCAAGTCAGATATATTAAAATTCAGAGCTTTATAAGGACCTTTTTTCCCCAGAGATGCTTCCAAGTGCCTGTTCAATTACCTCCTGGAAAAGTCATATAACAGAAGTCTGTTCTCTAGAAAGTTCCTGGAACCCATCAAAAGGCAGATAATTTAACTCTGGAAACTGCTCCTTTAGAAGGGGCTGTCATCTTAAGGGGAATGATCAGATGAGTTTGCAATGGGGAAATCCAGTTTGAGAATTCACTTATGTCACTTTCAAACTCAAGTAAACACAGGAAAGCAAATTAAGTCCATGTAATTAAAGAAAGCTAACCTTTACATCTTCTAAGACTTTTTTACTTTTAGTATTTTATCTTTAATTTGTTCAGAGATTGTATATCCTTGATATTATCTTTTAGGAGAATTAATTACAAGCTTAACCAAGCAAGCATAGAGGAGGGATGGCACCAGAGCAGTAAATTTTGCTATCTTTTCACTGACCTCAGAAACAAAAGGTTATCCAGAATTGCAGTTATTTGGGAAGGATTCTAAAGCCCATGTAACCAAAGACATAATAAGCAAGGCTGTACAAAAACAAGATATAAGTAACAGGTTTTTCAAGGTACATCAAGTATAAAAACCAAATAATTTAGACCAGACAAAGCCAGCGTCATTTTTAAAAACCCAACTGAATTACATCAAGCACTTCATGCAGCAGAACTGGGAGCAACAAACAAAACTAGACTCACATCAGCTTGTTACCTTAATTTGGGTCCCAAGTTTGACAGTGTAGTTCTCTATACTATTTATATATATAAAATACATAGATATGAAGATGCATAATACAAAAATGTTCACACATGGTAAACATACAGAGACAAATTCTAGAGGGCGAAACACTCAACCAGGATATGATTTTCCTTCTAGAGACATCTGTCCCCTTTTATTACAAGGAGAACTTAAAAATCTTTAGCAGTTCTCCTATGTTAGGAGTGGGGCCAAATGAGCTACTTAAGAGAACACTCAGCAGAAGATAGCCAACAAATGAAAGTTTATTTAGCCTAACTCCAGTCCTGGAGAACAAAGTAAGTAAAGATTAAAAACAAACAACCCCCCACAAAAAACAAACAAACAAAACCCCAAACAAACAAACCTAACCACCAAAAGAGAAAAAAAACAGAAGCAGCAACTGCCACAATGGAAGTAACTGAACAACTGTAAACAAATGAAGTGCAGTAAAATTATGGTAGTTCACAAATTAATAGAACCATAATCAGCTACCCCTCACACTGTAAAGCAGCATCAGGAAATAAAGTGAATGCGTTTTTTCTTACCAGTTTGCCCCAGCAGACTGAGTTTAATGTGAGTGTCACTTATGACACCAACCACTCTTATATTGCTGTTAGTTACTTCAGTAGCTGCTTGAGAATTTGAAGAATAAAGCATGTGAATGCACATACAACAAAACAGAGACAGAAAGGTTTCATTTTTCACATGCTAAGGTTAGGCACGGATATATTTAAAGATTTTTAGGCAAGAATTACAAAATACATTTAACTGACTTGGGCTGTCCGGCATCTGGAAGGATTGGTCCTGAGACCAAGGCACCATACTGTGGTACAGACCAGATGGGCCAGTTCAACTGTTCTGATATCCAAACTTCAAGATTACATATTCCAGATTATAAACAGTTTCTGCTTTATTTTAGCTACTTCATACACAACAGCTAGTCCTGTCAAAACCACAAGAAATCCCACACAGGGAGAAATAAATGTAAGGGAGGACAGATGAAAATCTACAGGGAGAAAATTCACTCACCTGCCATTTTTTTTGATGTAGGTTGCTAAATAACCATGGTCTTCCCAGTTATGAACTGTTTCTGTCATTCCCTGCTCCTGAAAAATGGGCTGTAGAGCTTTAAGAACAGCATTGCAATCAGCTGCAAGATTAAGAGAGAAATAATAATCAGTAAGGATTTTCCACTCAAGTCACTTCTGCTTTCCTTTAAAGGCTGAGCAGTTTTTTCTGACAGCCTGAATTAAAATCTGAGTACCATCTGAACATCCTTCATGTATCTTCTCTCTCCATCCCCGGAGATGTTTCTCACTGCATGGGGATCCAAACAGTTTTCTTTTAAAAATCAGTTTTCACACCTAAGCAGAAGTGGTTATCTACTGTAGATGTAGTACTAGTACTTTTGTTATGTGACTGTTGGTCACCTTCTGTATCACAATTCAGACAAGTCCTTACTCGTGTAATTACTTTTAAAATCATTTAAAACACAAACAATATTCCCAAAAAGAAACCACAGCACTGACATGAAAGTTTGAAAAAAAAATGCTGAGCTGTAGGACACGGATGCTACAAAGACACTGAAAACCAGAGAAGGCAAACCAACCTATTCCCTCAACCCCTACAGAAGCATCCATATTTTAACATCCAGGTCAGAGCAGATCTCCAGTCAAAAACCTTCCTATGGAAGAGACCTCTCAAAAAAACCACAAAAACTCAATTGGAAATAACTGAGGTTACTCTGGCAATTATCTTCAAAAGTAAGCTCATGATTTGTCTATCAAGATATTTCTTCAGTCAGAATATCATGATTTCAGAAGCCTCAATTTTGCTGCACACAGTTTTGTGAGGGTTTTTTTACCCACAACGTTGTTCATTATAACTACTTTCGATTCTCTAAACAAGTGCCTCAAAAACAAGTTGCAAGTTTTGCCTATTTATTTTGGAATCGACAAGGTGCGAGGTCATGGAGGATGCTGGTAAGGTTGTACTTACCAGAAGAGGAACAAAACTGGAAGGACTTATGTCAGTGAACAGACCTAACAAAATAATTATCTACAGGCTGTCCTAGTGAGGCGAGTATCATATTTTTTGCTTCACAAACACAGATCTAAACCGCTATGGTCATGTAAAATGTCAGTAACAAAACCAGGATTTAGAGTAGGTCTATCAGAGAAACCACCCAGCACAGCCACATCATGGAGGCACAGCTTAGAGCCAAATGTTTCAGCACAGACATTCTTTCCCACAACTTTACTAAAAAGAGTTATTGCCAAGGTAATTATTTTGTTTTAATCCCTGCCTCCAAAATGCATATACATTGGAAAATAGTAAGTGTGGCCTGCAGACATAAATCAGCAATAATTTCCAGGATGCCATTGAGTTGTACCAGCTACAAACAAACAAAAAAATCCATACCAAATAAATCCAAATTCAGCTCATCTATCATCTCTGTGAAACTCCACAAGCTAAAAATCTGATTACTTGAAACTTATGTTTGCCCATCTGTAAACCCTGGACTCAATTACCCCCGGAAGTTTTAACCAGACAGACTGAAGTAACAGATAAGGTGTTTACTTTAATCTTCCTCAAACAAAATCAAGAGCAAACCAATTCCCCAACAGTCAAGGATATTTAATAAAAATGGAAAGGCTTTGCTTCTCACTGCCCAAACTATCTGATCTTGATGCATAAGATACACATTTACTTTTCACCTTCTGTCCCTCACTCATTAATTCTTCATGTGGCAAATTAAGGGAAAACAGAACCAATAGAACTAAATTCTGTTGGACAGCAGTGAATGATTTAACTGCTGGCCCCTTCTCAGTCAGTAGCACCAGTGATGAAACACCACACAGATTCCACTCCTACTATGAAGATTTTTCCTCCCCCCTACCTTTCTGTAAAATTCTGCTACATTTGTACTGGTAAGTTTTCAGGTTTCCAATCCAGCATCATGGTACAGGCAATAATTAAGGCTCGTAACACACAGCTTGTCTGCCCAATAACCGTGGTTACAGTGGGCCAACAATCAACTCAACATGGTTTTTCAGACATCAGAAGCATAGATGAAATGGGGCCACAATTAAGAGCCACAGTTCTTAAACTGATTCTAATCTCTGCAGCTTTGCACTGGGACAGGAACTTTGCAATGCACGCTTTAAACCTGCAGTTTCTGGCAGGCATTAGGGCTGTTTCTGGAGAGGATAGGAGCAGCTACTCCAAGGCCAATACACTCACAAAGAATTTTTGTCACTTTAGACGTGGTCCACCCTTTCTGCCTGGCATTTGTTTCCTTGCCCCAGTCCTTTGCCTTCTCCCTCAACTTTTCCAAGACACATACTCATTTCTGTCTCTTCCTTACTTCTTAAGTCACCACCACAACAATGTTAAACAAGAACTCAGTTTAGTAACACATACAGTGCCCTTCCAGGGCAGTAAAATAGCATGAAACTCAGATCCCCTCACTTCCACAGCTCCTCCAAGACACAGTAAGATGGAGAACACAGTGGAAGAACTGAAGTGCTCATGACACATTTAGCCTGTTTTCAACAGCTTCAAGGATTCCTGTAAGGTGCATCCTGGCAGATGCTGCAGGACAAACATCACTGATCTTTTTCTGCTCCATGAACATACCAATCCCTCACAACCTGCTCATCATTCAGCAGCAGATTTCTTTGCTAAACACCCAGGCACAAGCTTGATTAAGGTCTTCCTATTCTGCTATTAACTTTAGTAAATTAAAACAACATGCCCTTTCATCAGGTCTCTTTTTAGTTATACCACACAAGATTTGCCTCGGAGGGATAATTAATTCTTTCAAGCTGGAAACTCCTTTATAAAATGTCCGAGGCACAAGTGGTTGCTGGAAGGCATCAGGAAGTTGCAGCAATCTCAGTATCTCTCACCCAAATCCACTTACCACCACCTCACTCCCAGCTCAGATATGCTTGATCACACACTGATAAGCAAAAAGGACAATGATGATTAGAACAATAGGAACACGTCTGAATCTACATCAAAATGTTTATTCAAGTAGTTATTTTTCTTCTATTCGGGAACAAAGGAAACAAACTCCAGTTACCAAGTGTGAAATACTGTTTCAAGTATTTGGTAATTATTTGGTAGAAGGAATGACAAAAGCCTGGAGATTCAACTCTAGAGAACAGAAACAAAAAAACACTGTATAAGATTTGAGATATACCTATTTTTCAGGAGAATTAATACCCAGTTTAGCCAGAAAGTTTTTGAATCCCAGCACACTTAGGAGATGATTTGCAGGAGTTGCAGACACTCCTCTGACACTGGAGCAGCAAAGCAGCCATTACCTGGCAGTAATCTGTGAACATGAGAGCATTCCAAGTTCAGAGTTACTGTCACCATCCAGTCCAGCCTCATGAAAAACACTGGCTAGTTTCACCCAGATACTCCAACAAGGAGCAATCTGCTATTGAGCCAGACTATTCCGGTTTAAGACACCCTAACACTAGATATTGACAAAAGTCTTAGTAAGCTATGGGAACAGATGAGCTCTCATTTGAAAACATTCATGCTATATCCAACTCCAAAATTTTCTTCCCCTAATTTTACATCGTTTCCTCTGACAAATGAGAATGCAACATAACCAAAATAATAGGACACATCAAAGCACTTATATATGCTTCTGCATTTGATGCATTTTTCGCTCGGTAGCTACATTTTCAATAGAGAAAGGTGAAGAAAAGAAAAATCAAATGCTTCATTAAGAACACATTAAAGAGTTAACACATATTAGGAGGCAAAATGCAGAATATGATAATGGCAAACAGCAACCTGAATGGCTGGTATATTGTTTCAGTATAATAAATTGCTGTGTTATGCAAGTCTGATGTTCTTGCACACAGGCAACTCCAATTCTCCAAAATTATCACAGGATAAGAAAATACGCAGAGACAAGGAGGGAAGGGAGTACAAGTGATGAAGGGAGCACACCTGAGAGAGATTAATTTCTAAGCAGATGAGGTCCTGGGGCAGTGCAAGAAGAGCAGCAGGGGGCTGTGCCTTCAGCCTGATACAGCAGCACACCTGACTGCTCTGGCACTGAGCCCATCAGAGACAAGTTCGGCCACTCACAGTGCCTCCCTCCACCCGTTACTGGAAACGGAGTCACCAGGTTACAGGTGTACAGGGAATCTCACTCAAACTAATCCAATGCATTTTTCCAGTACCAATACTGCATCCCAATCCTAATCATAAAAAAACCCCTGGAATTAGAGGTGTGCTGCAGAAATGTTTAGTGATCAAATTATTCATAACTTTTAAAATCCAGAGCCAAGGAGAAGCTTCAGGCTCCTGTGCCTGTATTTTACATGCCCTAGCTTTCTTTTAGGCACTAAAACAAATGGAGAGCTAAAAGTCACTGTTTATGGAAAGCCAACAGCCCCATCCTACTAGCTTCCCCTCTCTACCATACATGAGAGGATAGAACAGTACATAATAACTTGTAGATAACTGGTTATCATTTAGTCACCAACCTCCTCCATGGCAATCTTGTTCTTAAAAACTTGAACCCTTAGGAACTGTACTCCTTTTGCCCTAGCTAAAAGGATCAGCCTGCACAGAAAATAAGTGCACAGAGCACACTGGTGTTTGAAACAGACACTGGCTCAACAAAGAACTTGGAAAGCCAACAGTTGGCTAAACTGGTCCCTGTCCTTCAAGAACAAAACAACCCCGTGCCTCAGAAGAATAAGAGTACCCCCCCCATCAGAGCACACTCCAAACCCCCTGCTTTCATTACTGCCCAGAACAAAGCAGTAGCTTTTTCCTGACATGTCAACAGATGTAAATGAAAAACAACTGGCCTTAGCAACAAACACTTCCCGGGTATTAATTTTGAAAGTCTCCCATCGGAACCACCCACCCCCTCGGCCACAAAAAATACTGTTTTGTCCTTGTCAGCTCCGCAAAAGCAGAAAACGTCAGGAAACATAAAACTATACTAAAATTATTTCGATCAATTTGCACCTGTTAGGATCATCCTCATCATATTGATTTATACAGAGAAGTCAACAAATCATGCATCACATGTAAAGGGGCAGCAAGTGGAAATAGTCATCTACTATTCACTCATCCATGAGAAAAATAGATCAAGTTTTCCAGTGCACT